GGCCTGGTGTGCTGCAGTCCATGGGGTAGCAAAGAGTTGGAGACGACTGAGCAACTGAAGTGAATTGAATATATATGTATATTTATTAAATATACATTATTATCATATATGTATATTTATGTTATATATAAAATAGTCTCAAGGAATAGTGAGAGAATTTAACATTCTCAAAGTGTGATTTACACAGGAGAATTGGAGACATAGAGGTTGTATCTTTCAACAGATAACTGACTAAAGGAAAAAAATACTCATTTTTCAGTGTAAGACAAATATGTTAACTTTCGGTTTATACAAAGTTTCTAAAGAAGCGGGCCTCTTGCTTTCTTTTAAAATTGTGTTCCACAGGACGAAACCAGTTTACAGAGGAACTCATCCACCAGAGGGAGCCCTTACAAAAGAGAAAAAAGTGTTAGCAGCAGTGTGCGTCTAGGAGTGTTCGTGTGTCTGTGTGTGTGAGAGAGAGAGTGTGTGTGTGTGTGAGAGAGAGAGAGAGAGAGAGAGAGACAGAGAGCGTGTGTGTGTGTGTGTTGACTCTGCAACCCCCTGGACTACAATCCGCCAGGCTCCTCTGTCCATGGCATTTCCCAGGCAAGAATACTGGGATGGGTTGCCACTTTCTACTCCAGGCAATCTTCCCGACCCAGGAGTCAAACCCTCATCTCCTGCATTGCATGCAGATTCTTTACCGCTGAGCTACCACGGAAGCTCTAGTATATACAATTGAAGGAAGTGTATTTCTTACAAAACGAAATTCTTTAAATCCAGTAATTTCTTACAATCACATGTATTATTTTCTGAGAAATACAAAATTTCCATTACTGTAAAGAGCTCCCTCTAGTGCCCATAGATAGAAGAAATATGTATGAAAGAGTTGTAACTTGTAGCCCACAGCAAGTCAACTAGAGAAACAGTATTTAACCTTTCCATTCCACCCCCACTCACGCTTTTTTTCCCCCTAAGTTAGTTCTAGGATTATTTTCTTGAAAAATCGGTCACCTATATACACGATAGGGCTTCCCTGGTGGCTTAGAGGGTAAAGCGTCCGCCGGCAATGTGGGAGACCTGGGTTCAATCCCTGAATTGGGATGGTCCCCTGGAGAAGGAAATGGTAACCCACTCCAGTATTCCTGCCTGGAAAATCCCAAGGACGGATGAGCCTGGGAGGCTGCAGTCCATGGGTTTGCAAAGAGTCGGACACAACTGAGCAACTTCACTTTCACATATACACAATGTCAACAGTCATCCTAAAACTGTCACCTAATTCTGGGTTAAGTAATTCTAGGAAAGCCCATGTCATCACCAATCTTGGCCTCCCTCTTACCAGTTAGTCACAGAAATTTTCTACATGTCTTTGTATATCTTGAGGCAAATACATTTAAATTTATAAATAAACAATACCCCGTAGTACCTATTAATAGTGTATTAATTTGAGGAAAATAACACTAAGTACTCAATAAATGTTACATTATCTCAGGTAAACCTCACAACAACCCCATGAGGTAGGTACTGTTATCCTCACTTTATAGATGAAGACTTTGAGGCTTACACACCTCACTAGTAGTAAAGTATAGATCACAAACTACAGGGTTAAGTACTGTGCTATACCACAAAGAAAGTAACTGAACTAAATGAGATAACTGTAGATTTACACAGTTTTGTAAAAAAGGAAAGAAACACAACAAGAGTCCTTGTACACTTGGCCCAGTTTCCTGAAATAACATTTTGCAAGACTACAAAATAATGTCACAAAAAAGATACTGACAATGATACAATCTACCAACCTCACTCAGTTTTAAGGCATTTTCAGTCAGCCAATACTTTTATTCTATCAATATTTCTAAATGCTCGATATAAAAATTCTTTGTTTTTACCTCTCATAACTCGTCTTCAGTTCAGTTCAGTCACTCAGTCGTGTCCAACTCTTTGTGACCCCATGAACCGCAGCAGGACAGGCTTCCCTGTCTATCACCAACTCCCGGAGCTTACTCAAACTCATGTCCATCCAGTCGGTGATGCTATCCAATCTTTACAATAAATTTTAGGGTTTCACACTACTCTATAGTTTTATATCTCAGCATTCTCATTCTTTCTACATATGTAAACTTATGCAGTTCAATTCTCATTCCTCCAAAGCATGGGCTTTGAGGTCAAGGATTCTGAAATTTAATCCCAGTATTCTGCCATGTACTTAGTTTGGGCAAATAATTTAACCTCTCAATATTTCCATCATCTGTAAAATGGGAATAAAAAGTACCTATTTCAAAGAGTTCCTGAAGATCAACCTTTGCCTACAAAGCAGTTGACACAATACATGGTACAAATAAGTACTTACTAAACTTTAGCCATAATCATTTACTATTTCTTTACCAAGACTTTTCTAACAGTATTCCATCCATTCCAATATCGTCAACAACCATTCCAACCTCTTTAACATCCTAACCTTCCGTATAGGTCCATCTGTTCATTCATTGAGCAAAAATGTACTGTTTACACATAATGAAGATAAACAGATGAATCAAATACAGAACCTTTCTTCACAAAAGCACAATTACTAAAATCTAAGTTAGACAACAACGATGGTGCAAGTAACACATGACCTGGCTTCTTTAAGAGTTTATTCATTTGGCAAATGAGTGGGATATAGCATTTTCTGGAGCAGACAGGAGCATAACTAAGGTACCAAGGGCAAAAAGGGGGTATGAATAGGAAACAGCAAGCAGTTCACGTTGGCTGCAATGGAAGATGTCAGAAAAGAAATAACAGAAAGTAACACTAAGATTGGGCAAGGGCAGATCCTGAAAGGCTTTGAATCTAAGCCCAGAATCTAAATTTCATTCTGTCTATAAAGAAGAAATGCAGAGTTCACCATGAGAAACGCTAGGCTAGATGAAGCACAAGCTGGAATTAAGACTGCTGGAAGAAGTATCAGTAACCTCAGATATGCAGATGACACCACTCTTATGGCAGAAAGTGAAGAAGAACTAAAGAGCCTCTTGATGAAAGTGAAAGAGGAGAGTGAAAAAGTTGGCTTAAGGCTCAACATTCAGAAAACTAAGATCATGGCATCCAGTCCCATCACTTAATGGCAAATAGATGGGGAAACAGTGGCAGACTTTTTTTTTTTGGGCTCCAGAATCACTGCATATGGTGACTGCAGCCATGAAATTAAAAGACGTTTGCTCCTTGGAAGGAAAGTTATGACCAACCTAGACAGCATTAAAAAGCAGAGACATTACTTTGCCAACAAAGGTCCATTTAGTCAAGGCTATGGTTTTTCCAGTAGTCATGTATGGATGTAAGAGTTGGACTATAAAGAAAGCTGAGCACTGAAGAACTGATGCTTTTGAACTGTGATGTTGAAGAAGACTCTTGAGAGTCCCCTGGACTGCAAGAAGATCCAACCAGTCCATCCTAAAGGAGATCAGTCCTGAGTGTTCATTGGAAGGACTGATGTTGAAGCTTAAACTCCAATCCTTTGGCCACCTGATGCAAAGAACTGACTCACTTGAAAAGACCCTGATGCTGGGAAAGATTGAGGGCGGGAGGAGAAGGGAATGACAGAGGATGAGATGGTTGGATGGCATCACCGACTCAATGGACATGAGTTTGGGTGAACTCCGGGAGTTGGTGATGGACAGGGAGGCCTGGTGTGCTGCAGTCCATGGGTCACAAAGAGACAGACATGACTGAGTGACTGAACTGAACTGATAATGAAAAGTCAGCGATTTATGAGTAATGCAGTTATTAAGTTCATAATTATATACCCAAAGCATTAATATGCTATACAATGTAAAATAGATTAGAGAAATCTTTACTGTGCCTGTATTTAGAAACCTCCTGCTGCATTCAATGATGTAGGTAAGAAGGAAAGCCTGAAGGGATAAATACTAAAGAAATTGAATCAATACAATTTAAAACTTAATGAAATGTGGGAAAAAGGAAGTGAAGAGGATTTAGGTTTTAAACTTAGTATTGTGAACTACACTAAAGAAAAATGGCTCACAGACTTCTCAAATCACTTATTCATTTTCCTGAATTCTAAACTAGATTTTAACTTCTGTCCACTGAGGACTGAATACTTTTTACCTGTTGGGTGAAAACAATTATCTTGAAAGAATATGGAATAAATAGATTTTAAAAATCTAGAAGACTATAAGTATAATAAATAGATTCAAGAAATCTATTAAATAGAAGACTGTAAGTATCCTGAGTAGGTAAGAGAATGCTGCTTATGATATCTGATATAAAATGTATATTAAAAGTGAGATTAAGGAAACCTACAATCATCATAAAATAGGAAAGAGGATTCCTAGACTCACTGGTATGTCCCCCGTGTCTAGAAAGTACCTAGAATCCTGTGAGCACTCGATAAAAACATTGAATACATAAATGAATGAGGAAAGAAAATTTAAATTTTTACTAAATCTTAAGAAAGGTTCTCCACTGTCTTCAATGCTCTGAGGGCTCAACATTCTCTCCCACTCTTTGTCTTATAAAATGGCCTTCTGTTGCTAACTATACTTGTGAAAATATAAACTTTAATATATTCATTTAGTAGAAGTTTGATAACCACTTTAGTAAGTGTTAGGTGCTCAATCGTGTCTAACTCTTCGCGACCCCATGGATTGTAGCCTGCCAGACTCTTCTGTCCATGGAATTCTGCAGGCAGGAATACTGGAGTGGGTTGCCATTCCCTTCTCCAGGGGATCTTCCCGACCCAGGGCTCGAGCCCAGGTCTGTTGCACTGCAGGCAGAGTTTTCACTGTGTGGGCCACGAGGGAAGCCTTGACAACCATTTCAGGCAAGACTGAACTATCAACACTGAAGGTCAGAACAAAAGCCTAATGTACCATCCGACACAAAGGAAGTGATATCTGAGGCTTCACACAGATGTTTAGGTATCTCCCAAGCTCCATTTTGCAACTTTGGAATTTAAAGGCAAACACATTTGTTACTGAATGGGAAATACGAATATGTCTCCTTTCAGTCTGTCATCTTACCAGGTCTTTCCTTCCCAGTGCCTTTTGACTCAGCAAATTTTTGTATCAAGCTTTCAACTGTAGTATTGGCCATGTTATTTATAAATTCTTCATGGACCTATTAAAATGAAATAAAGGTAAGTTTTTTCATTTTCCATAAATATTCTCACTGTATTTCAGACAAAACTTCCACAAAACAATTAAAATAGAAGTCAGTGCAGTGACATGTTCATACGTGAGTGTTTTAGAGACATCAGTCTTACAAGAAATAAAACTCATAAAGCAATGAAAATAGTATTAGAATTTTAGTAACAAAGATAACAACAGATTTCATCTTTCTCTGCTATATTTCAATGTACGCTAAAAATCATCATTAAACCACTTTTATATTTTTGGAAAATTTCTAAGTATAAATTCTATAACTTACTGAAGTTGCTATTCTAAATTTTAAAATAATAAAACTTTTAAAAAGAAATATTCAAAAATAGTTAACAGCAGAATTTTAATGTAAAGAGACTGAGCAAAGTTAATTTTAAATTATCATCCTTGATAGTATGACAAACTCCAGGTTATTTCATATTTAATACATGTAAATATATAGTCTTTATCTGAAATAATTCAGTACCATGTAGTGAGTTTGGATTTTTAAAGTCATAAGAGAACATAAAATTCTCATGAATCAGTTCACTAAAAGTGAAAACTTACCTGGCCTATTTGCAAATGAATTTCCTTAATAGCATTTGACAAGGATCCTATAATTTCTTTTATGTGAATGAGATGAGTTTGTTCAATATCCTGAAATTTCTGGGTAGCAAATATAAAAAAAAAATTACACACACACAAATATGTTCTGAAATTAAAACACTTTTTCGAAATCATCTCAATACAGCTAACCAAATTTAACAAGTTACCATTATTATATAATATTTAACAATGCTTTAAAAAGCAGACATTGCTTTGCCAACAAAGTCCATCTAGTCAAAGCTTTGGTTTTTCCAGTAGCCATGAATGGATGTGAGAGTTGGACTATAAAGAAAGCTGAGTGCCAAAGAATTGATGCTTTTGAATTGTGGTGTTGGAGGAGACTCTTGAGAGTCCCTTGGACTGCAAGGATCCAACCAGTCCATCCTACAGGAGATCAGTCCTGAATATTCATTGGAAGGACTGACGCTGAAGCTGAAACTCCAATACTTTGGCCACCTGATGTGAAGAACTGACTCATTTGAAAAGATCCTGATGCTGGGAAAGATTGAAGGCGGGAGGAGAAGGGGATGATAGAGGATGAGATGCTTGGATGGGATCACTGACTCAGTGGACATGAGCCTGAGTAAGCTCTGGGAGTTTGTGTTGGACAGGGAAGCCTGGCGCTCTGCAGTCCACGGTGTCGCAAAGAGTTGGACACAACTCAGCAACTGAACTGAACTGAACAATGCTTCTAGACAAATGAGTCTAGTTAACATACTGAAATATAACGTCAGAAAGTTAACTTTTTCTTGTGCCATTTCACATGCAAATATCAACTTTTTCAGTATTAGAAGATACCACAAATTAAAATCTATAATCATGGTCAGAAAATTAGGAGGAGACCCAGAAGAGAATAGTGTCAAAAAACCAAAGAAGTATTTAAAAAAACTGAAAAACAACTAGCTGGTAAAGCTAAAACTACAGTTTACTTAAGACTTTACAATCTAGCCCAGTGACTTTCAAAATGTCTAATTCTTAAAATGTTAATATATACTCTTCAAAAGAGGTAGTCTATAGTTTAAGAAATCTGTGAAAACGTGTGTGTATACTCTATCTCAGAAGTTCTCAACTGAAGGCAAGGATGATTCAGATGACCTGGGGAATGTTTTCAAACTCCAAAACACAGATCCTCCAGGATTACTCAGGAAATGAGCTAGAAAGAGGTAAGAATATTGCTGGGAAAAAAATTCCACATTATTGTGATATTTATTTTCCAAGAAGAAAACCAGTGTTACACTTCGCTTCACAAGAAACATATTAAAAACTGAAGTAACTGAGAAATACTAAAGTAACAAAGCTTGTTTTACTCTGCTTAACCCTGTGTCTTCCAAATTTAACCACACAACCCTTCTTTTCCTCTCTGAGTATCTATTAACATCTCACAGAACAATAGGAAATGCTGAACTAGTCATTTTCAAACAAAAAAAGAAAAAATACATCTGTCATTTCCACTGCCAAACCTGATTACCCTCTTTCTTGCCAAATGATATCAGGCCTAAGGAGCAGGCCTAGATGTTTGCTATTTTCCCTAGTTTATCAAATTAAATCCCCTCCCCCCATATTAAATGTTCAGTTTCCTTCAGCAGACATCAGAAATCCCTAAGCCAAATGATCATATCCAGATCTGTGTAAAGGGTCTGAACTTCAAAAAAAAAAAAAAAAATCAATAATGGTGAAATCATAGTTTTGGCAGTAACACAACAAGAGTCCAAAACTTACCAATCTTATTCGTGAAAAATGAGAGTTAAAATACAGAGCTTGTTTCGGATAATTCTGACCAAGTCCAATGAGAATACCAAAACTGCAAGATCCTAAATTACTCTTAAGAACTGAGGAACAGTCAGCCAGAACATGATTCTACTTTATATTTCTATTACAAGAATTCACCCTCAGTTTAAATTTTGGCAACCTGATGAACAAGATATTTTCTCACAGAAAGGAAGTCTCAAATCCAGGAAAGACTGGTCACACAGCCACTAATTTCATATGGATGATGCCTAATTCCAAGAAAACTGTGCACCTTCTTTCTCTTTTGAAACACCAAACCTAAGTCAGATCCTTAATAATTGAGAAGTATCTTGAAGCGTGAAGCCAAACAGAACTTAAAAGCATGATTTAGCTGCAATTTTGAAATTATGCTTTATTTCCGGTGGGAAGATATTGCTAAATATCACAATTCCTCAAAATTAGTGACTACTAAATAAATTCAGTTATTTAGCAAAGGAATATAGTATCAAGTGTTTGAATATAAATGAATAAACTTCCCTGAACAAAACAGATTTTTCTTCCTTGCAGTCAAATTCACTGGGCTCATATTATTGTTACATCAGCTTTTTTAAAAAGTACAATTTTGTCAGCCACTACAGACGAACAATGGCCTGGTTCAAAACTGGGAAAGGAGTGTGACAAGGCTATATGTTGTCACCCTGCCTCAGTACACCATGTGAAATACTGGGCTAGATGAATCACAAGCTGGAATCAAGACAGCCAGAAGAAACATCAAGAACCTCAGATATGCAGATGATACCACTCTAATGCCAGAAAGTGAAGAACTAAAGAGCCCCTGATGTGGGAGAAAGAGGAGAGTCAAAAAGCTGGCTTTGAACTCAACATTCAAAAACCTACGATCATGGCATCCAGTCCCATCACTTCATGGCAAATACATGAGGAAAAAGTGGAAACAGCAACAGATTTTCTTTTCTTGGGCTCCAAAATCACTGCAGACGGTGACTGCAAGCCATGAAATTTAAAGACACTTGCTCCTTGGAAGAAAAGCTATAACAAATCTAGAGAGCATATTAAAAAGCAGAGACATTACTTTGCCAACAAAGGTCTATATAGTCAAAGCTATGGTTTCTCCAGTAGTCATATATGGATGTGAGAGCTGGATCACAAAGAAGGCTGAGCGCCAAAGAATTGATGCTTTTGAACTGTGGTGTTGGAGAAGACTACAAAGTCCCTTGGACAGCAAGGAGATCAAACCCATCAATCCTAAAGGAAATCAACCCTCAACATTCACTGGAAGGACGGATGCCGAAGCTCCAACATTTTGGCCACCTTATGCGAAGAGCCAACTCACTGGAAAAGACCCTGATGCTAATATTGAAGGCAGTAGGAGAAGAGGACAATAGACGATGAGATGATTGGATGCCATCACTGACTCCATGGACATGAGTTTGAGTAAACTCCAGGAGATAGTGAAGGACAGGGAAACCTGGTGTGCTGCAGTCCATGGGGTCACAAAGAGTCAGATATGACTTAGCGACTGAACACCACCACCACAGATGTATATATATAAAAGCACTCTAGTACTAAACTTAATCGGAGGGTGTTACTTAAACAAATCTCAAATTTCCTTGTACTACTCATGTTACTGTTCAAAGTAAACAAAATCTCCCATTGTTTCAAGTTAAACCGATAGTGGTGAAAAGCCTAAGCACAGAGTCACAATTTTAGTCATGCTTATTCTTAATTCAGGGTTTCCCAGGTGGTTCAGTGGTTAAAAAAAAAAAAAAAAATCCACCTGCTAGTGCAGGAGCCACAGAAGATGCAGGTTCAATCCGTGCATGGGGAAGATCCCCTGGAGGAGGAAATGGCAACCCACCCCAGTATTCTTGCCTGGAAAATCCCATGGACAGAGAAACCTGGCTGACTACAGTCCAAGGGGTTGCAAATGAGTCAGACATGACTGACTGAGCACACATTCTCAAGTGAAAAAATCTACATCACAAGTACTCCAAGTCAAGTCTAACTTCTCTCACCCAAGGACTCAATTTCTTCTCACTCTGGCGTGGTCCTGTCACCCAAATTTCATTACTGTTAGATTGACAGACCCCTTTCCCACTGGGGTTAGGGCAACCTGCTTGGCCTGGAACAAAAAGCAGAGAAGCAAAAGAATTCTTTTCCCTTCTAAGTAACCCAAGATAAAGCCTACTACCTATTAAGAAACAAAAGTTAACCTGTTCTACGGTTATGTGTACATGCTAGAGAGAGAGACAAAGAGTGAACACAAGAGAGAAAACATACACACATTAGCCCAGTATACCACCACCTTTGGAGAAGGCCATGGCACCCACTCCAGTACTCTTGCCTGGAAAATCCCATGGACCGAGGAGCCTGGTGGGCTGCAGTCCATGGGGTCGCACGACTGAGCAACTTCACTTTTACTTTTCACTCTCATGCACTGGAGAAGGAAATGGCAACCCACTTCAGTGTTCTTGCCTGCAGAATCCCAGGGATGGTGGAGCCTGGTGGGCTGCCGTGGGGGTCGCACAGAGTCAGACACGACTGAAGCAACTTAACAGCATACCATCACCTTTATTTAAAAGCAGCATGGCTAAACATCTGCTCAAACAAATTAATTATTCCATCTTGGGATTGGCAAGATAAACAATTAAAATGCCAATCTGAAAAAAAAAATGTAATGAGGAAGCAGAAAGAGGGAAGGGAAAAATAAGTGCTGAAAATTCTATATAAGGTAATACATACAAACGAAAACACTGACTTGAACAAATTCTAACTTCTCTTTTTTCAAATTAAATAACTGAAGGCAAGATTTTCACTGACAGAAACTAATCATTCTGATAGAAAATTAATAAATCAATAACTGCCTTATAAACGAGTGTTCCGAAAGATTTAAAAGATAAAAGAGAACTTGCTGGAGTCCACAATGACCACAGTTGCTACAGAAATTGAAACTTTCTATCTCACTGGAGTTGGAGCCTCATTTAACACAACTAAATCCTTCCTGAAACATTATCACTTCTGAGCTGCCAGGACATTACACTTCCCAGTTTTCTTCCTTCTCTGGCTTCTCCTACCTGGGTTTTAGCATCTCTTCCTCTTCCAAACTGACAATGATGAACCTCTCAGAGTTTGGCCTTAATTCCCCACTCTCTACCCAAAGATGATGTCATTGTAGTTTTGTATACTGCCAAGCTCCTATATTATAAAAGCCCTATATTCTTTATTCAAAATCTTCGGGACAAAGTGTTTGGGAATTTAAATATTTTGGATTTTTTTTTAAAATAAAGGTAACATGTTATCATATATGTCATTATACTACCAGTAGTATCTGCAGTGGCATCTGTTTATCAAACACTAAAGGAAAACATTTATATTCAGCCTAAGTAGGATAAAGAGACTATATATAGCCTCACATCAGATCAAATCAAGTTCTGCTGCCAAATGAATTCTAGAAAAAAAAGGGGGGAATGGTTCAGAGAATTCAGAATTGTCAATACGGGGCTGTGAACATTATGTTCAGTCCAGATTACTTAGAGCCTCCAAAACTGCCATTTGCTTTCTTCATTTAAGTGTATAGGGATTAATTCCCAATGGTTCAGTGGGTAAAGAATCTGCCTACAATGCAGGAGACCCCCTTCCAACCCCCCAAATGAACAGCTCTTCATCTAGACTTTGCTATTCATCTCCGTCAAACCTGGAAGAGACCTTGAACCCCTTCAGAATTCTTCCATCCACCCTAACCCTGCCACCTCCAAATATATTTTCTCTCCTTCTCCAAGGCCACCACACTGACTCTCATCCTTCCCACTGGACTACGATACTACCTTCCAAATTGGACTCATGATTTTCCTTTGGCCTCACTATAATCCATTCTTCATGAAAGTGTCAAAATTAGCTTTAGAAATGCAGATCATATCACATCGTATCCCTGCATACAGCTCTTCAGTGTCTTCCAACTGCTCTTAGAAGAAAACCTAAGCCCTCACTAGAGCCTGGCCCTTGACTATCTCTTTAACTTCACTTGTAACCACCATCTCTCCTGTTTTAGTAAGCATTTTTACTTTCTAGAATGTGAAGCTCTTTTATATGCGGTCTTCATAGCCATGGTCCCCAATGCCTGGAATACACATGCCCTAGACTAAGTCTTATACTGATTCTTCAAGGCTCAATTTTAAATGTTAGTTCTCCAAAAAGGCCTTTCCTAACTCCCTAATCCAAATTTAGTGAAAGCCACTCAGCCATGTCTGACTCTTTGCGACCTGATGGGCTATACAGTCCATGAAATTCTCCAGGCCAGAATACTGGAATGGGTAAGCCGTTCCCTTCTCCAGGGGACCTTCCCAACCCAGGGATTGAACCTAGGTCTCCCACCTTGCAGGAGGATTCTTTACCAACTGAGCCACACAGGAAGCCCAAGAATACTGGAACGGGAAGCCTATCCCTTCTACAGCAGATCTTCTCAACACAGGAATCAAACCAGGGTCTCCTGCATTTCAGGTGTTTTCTTTACCAGCTGAGCCACCGGGAAACCTCTAGTCCAAATTAGGTCATCTCTATTATTCTATCTCATGATCTCATGGAAGCCTGTTCTTTTCCTTTGTAACTTTTATAATAATCTGTAACTTTGTAATTAAGCATATATTTAATGTATACAGTCCTCTATACTGTATACTCCACGTAAAGCACAGAGAATTTGTTTTATTTACATATATACTGTATACATCTAGCATCCAGCACAGTTCCTACAACATGGTAAGATGAATGCATTATGCCTACACACAAGCATGCAGACCCTCTGTTTCTGGGATGTGACTCATTCAGCACTCCAAGCAAGATGACACCCTAGAATCCAAAAAGTCACTCATAAAGTCCTTCTTCACACTTAAAGAGTGCCTACCATGAGCTAGGAACTGTTTTAAATGCGGAGGAAGACAGTAGCAAACAAATCCATCTCTGCTCTTATAGAACTTACTTAATGGTGGAAGACAGACAATAAAACAACACGGGTAGAAAAGCTGGTGTGCGTCACCACATTTCAAGTCCTCTCAGACACGATGACTAAGAATGCTCTAAGAAGAGGTTTCTCTACCAGCCTCAGTGCCAGAGCGAAGTGCTGACCCATGATGGACAAGCAGCATGCACTTGCTATTGTAATCCACTGAGACCTGTGGGCATTCTCTGCCACCACAGCATACCCATCCTAACCTGTCTGAAATAGTAAATAAAATTCATGGTGTTAGATGAGGACAGGTGCTAAAGAGAAAAACAAAACACGAGGACAGAGGGTAGAAGTTTTGGATATGATTCATAAAAGGCACCCATCTTAAATCTAGGCCTTTAATTAAGGCCTTAAGAATATCAAATTGAATATAATTTATCCCAAGTTAATGGGAGGCAGACTTTTTTTAATTGGCTATTTTCCCTTACTAAAATGGAAGTTCTATGAGAACAGGAATTCTTGATTGCTTTATTTATTAACTACTACATCCTTAGCACTGAGTGATTTCCAGTTTTCTTCTTAACTTAATTTTAAAACCCATACATAATTTTCATCATCTACCAATGTCCTCATTTTCTCCAATAATCTTGAAACATTCTCTTCTAGTTGATCTGAATAATCTCTTATGATATTATAACTACTGACTGACCATGATTTTCAATCTCCAAAACAAGAAGTGTATTTTTAAAACAGCATTATTAAAATATTGAGACTGCACATTTTAACAGTTTCTAATATAAAAAAATTTTATGACAGAAAAATTATTTATATCAGAAATATATTTAATATAACTTACTGGAATTTATAAACAATAAATACAAATATCCTATTTTATATTTAAATCCTTACAAATACCAACCTGAGCTGTTTCTGTCATTTTCTGTTCAAAATCTGCTTTTGCTAATGCATATTTTTCCACATAGAGTTTGTAAGTATCTGTAGCTTTCTTAGATTTAACAGCTGCCTGTAACAAAACAAAAACATTTAGAATTACACAAAATAGCTTTACTTTCCTTAAAAAAAAAAAGTGCATTGTAAGAGATGAGGCCTATGTTGAGCTCAAAATGATATAAACTAACTTTAATACCTTTTTTCAAGTCTTTCTTATTAGTATTTTTTGTTATGGTCACACAGTGATGTAGAAATTAAATCCTAATTCATTGTCCAATGGAATGTGCTTTTCAAAGTTAAAATACTTTCATTTATAACCCAGAGGAAGATCACACAACCACATTATAACAGTACAATGTTACTAAAAATTCAACAATCAAGAATGTGACAATACCAGCAGAATATGCTATGAGTCTTCTTCCTTCCTCCCACAACAGATACTTCATTTAAGGTCTGATCAGTGACTATAAAGCTAGCACGAAAATTGAAAAAAAAAAAATCAATTTTCCTGGATGTTGCCCAATTTTTTTTACACTTTGAAAAGTCAATAATTTGTTTTAATCATTGTCTGTTTTTCAAGATTTCTATTTTTTAATTGCTACTGTATTATAATAGTTTTAATTTTATCAAAGTTACTTATTCAACAAAAACTTAATAATATATTAAATATTAGGCACTAAGGAATATGAAGACAAATTATATAGGAATCTTTTCCTCAGTGAGTTCATAAAAGAAGTATAACCTATACAAAAAAAAGGCTAGAAATTGGTAGAAAGTAAACAGTAGATTTGGGCAGACATGTGGCTATCAAGAAATTTGATTATTCTCGAAAGACTGCTCAATTTGGATACAGGAAGTTTGAAGCCAAGGGGTGTTGGAGTAAATAAAGAGTTTAAAGATCAAAAAATAAAAGAGAGAAGCTACAGCATTTCAAGATAAAAGATCTCCACTTTCTTGGTGTGATAAAAGGTGGTCTGCTATGAGCGCAGAAGAGAAGGCTGAGTTGGAAACTTCAGAATGAAGTTTCAAACCATGGTTATGGAGGATGCAACTGGTAATAATTACAGGAGTAAAAGTATTACAAAGAGCCACTGAGGGCTAAGCTGCAAAACCTGGAATTTGTGCACAGATAATCAGAACCATAGGCAATTATTTCCAGCTATGTTCAGGAGTCTAAAAATAAGTATTAGAAACTAATCTAATAAGTATTAGAAACACAAAGTTGGGTTTACCTGGAGGTTGGGAATGGCAAGAGATGCATACAGTTCTTGACCCTAAAAAAGTAACTCTGCACTGTCTTGAAAATTTTACTGCATATATTATATTAAATGTATACGCTCTATCCTTGCTGGCCTTCATAAACAAAGAATATACAATGCCACTTTATCTTGCAGGGTATCAAAACTATATCTTGTATCAAAACTGAATGCGGTTTCCATTCATGGTCTGGCAACTAAGATCCCACAGGCCAGGGAACACCCAAGTCCGATGCTCTAGAGCCCGTGCACCACAACGGCGGAGCCTGCGCGCTGCAGTGAAGTCCCCGCGTGACGCAATGAGGATCCCACATGCCACAACTAGGACTCGGTGAAGCCAAATAAATTACAACACATAAGTCAATGGGAAATTGGGACAGAAGACATTATGCTTTAAAAGCAATAGCTATGTTTCTTCTCATAATTAAAAGACTGGTTCTAATAGATTATCTAGTGATAATGAAAGAAATCCTGTATTTTATCATTTCCTTAGCATTATAAATAAATTTACTGATATACTACTGGACATAATTCTGTTTCAGAGTCTATATAATTTTCACAGTAAAATCTTATGAATCAAAAGTATACATAAAAAATAAGCACATTGTCATAGTCCACAAATACGAGTAACTTCTAAATGGCGCTTTATAAAAGGGTTTGTATTACTCAGCCATTAAAAAGAATTCATTTGAATCAGTTCTAATGAGATGGATGAAACTGGAGCCCATTATACAGAGTGAAGTAATCCAGAAAGATAAAGACCATTACAGTATACTAACATATATATATGGAATTTAGAAAGATGGTAATGATAACCCTATATGCAAAACAGAAAAAGAGACACAGATGTACAGAACAGACTTTTGGACTCTGTGGGAAAAGGCGAGGGTGGGATGTTTCGAGAGAACAGCATCAAAACATGTATGTTATCTAGGGTGAAACAGATCACCAGCCCAGGCTGGATGCATGAGACAAGTGCTTGGGCCTGGCGCACTGGGAAGACCCAGAAGGATCGGGTAGAGAGGAAGGTGGGAGGGGGGATGGGGATGGGGAATACATGTAAATCCATGGCTAATTCATGTCAATGTATGACAAAAACCACTACAATATTGTAAAGTAATCAGCCTCCAACTAATAAAAATAAATGAAAAATAAATAAATAAAAAATATAAAAGGGTTTGTAAATGAAGATGAGATGCATACTATGTCATAATAGTATTTGTTTTCAAGTTCACATACACATAAAATAGTTCAAAGATCTATGTTTTTTAAAAATCTACATTCATGGTAATAAGGAGCTTATTACAGGCCAAAATATTTACTTAGGCTTGGATTTAACTACATATAAATCAGAGACCCACTAACACTTCTACTGTGACAAGCAACGATATCGCCTCTTGAGCAGAACAATTAGAAAAAAGCACTGCTTTCTCTTCTTTTTGCTGATTGAGAAGATTTAAATTATACTTTTTTCAGTAGTTATGCTTAATGTTCATACTTGAATACTACTAATTCTAATATACCATTAATTGTAAAACACACCATTATTTTGTATACCACTCAAACAGAAAAACACTGTCAATTAAACCATGAAACAATGCTTTCTTATCACTTAAAATTTTTATTTTAGACTTACTATAAAAGCTCTTTAGGACTTACTTGGAGGTAGATTTTTATTCTTGTGTGATAAAAATAAAAAAGAAAGCAAAATGAACTGTTTGAGATACTCCTAAGTCTTTTTTCACATTCAGATTCTGACTCTTCTCAATTACTTCCAAATCAGGGACTGCTAAGGTCTGTTTTTTCCCCCACATATTATCATCTTCAAAGTCACCAAGAATATTACTGACAGAGAATATCTTAAAAGTGCTGCACTACCATCTTCAGATTTTCTTCCAAACAGTGGTGTTCACATTTTCCTGATTTCACCAGGTCTCAACAAAAGGTTTTCAAACAGCAGTCAGAACTATTCCTTCCTCAATGGTCTTAAAGTGGTCTGTAAATTGAAACAGCAGTGTTGCAGCTGTCCGGTCATGCCACCAGGTACGTAACAACCAAGCTCCCAGAGGCAGTGAGCCTACAAGACAAACGTCACCTTCCCACAGTGACTGTAATAATACCACCATCTGAAGATGCATTCTAATTTCAGGGATGGGAGGAAAAAGGTAGACCTGGCAGCTTTTAATGTTCTCTTTTTTTTCTGGTGTCTCAGTCTGAATTATCTTTATTTAACCTGCTTAATACCGAGGATGTATTTATGATCTAATTCTTTAATTTCTTTAATTCTGAAAAAATTCCGATCTGTTAACTCTTCAAATATTACCTGTTTATCATCCTCTCCAATTTTTCTAAAACCCACAGCACACGATGGTGACCTTTACTCTCTGTATATGTCATGGATAAGTTCCCAAATTCAGTCTTTCACTGTATCAACTCTAAAGTTTATCTTCTCTAATACTTTTTTAAAATTTCAGAACCTATATATTTCACTGCCAAGTTTTCTAGTTAGCTGTTTTCCCATCTAGTTCTTGTTTCATTATGTCTCTCTTAACTTCTTTAATGTAAGTTTATGTTCATTTGCATCTCTGAACATCCTCAACATATATGAATGTTTCTGATCATCTGTTTAATAAATCTAAATTTTATTTGAACTGAATTCTTCTTCTAGTTGTTAAATTTGCTGCCACCTGTATAAACAAAGATATCCCCTCCTTTTCCAAAGTTTGTCTTATGCCACGTTGCTTTTACTAATGAATTACATTAGTACCTGTCTTCACAAACTGGAAAAAAATCCAGAGAGGATTTTCACTTTTACAAAAAAAAAAAAAAAAGGTGAAAAGAAAAATAGTACTCAGTGTTTGCTTTGCAAGAGCCATTATGAAGGGAGCACACAGCCTGAGACCAGCGAGAGTGGTCCAAGCTCCTTTCCAGGATCTACACTTAGCATCTCAGCATTGGTCTCCACAGCTCTGAACTGTTTCGGTAAGCATCTGTGCTTTAACTCAATTTCCTTCATATGTTCATAAGCAAGATGTGCCCTAAGGCAACTGCTTCTCTGCTTATGCCATTTTGGTTCATATAAGTTTTCACAGAAAGAATCCACTGTTGTATAGCAGGGGAAAGCTATATGAGATTTCTTAAGATGTACTCTAAAAGTGTGGTTGTTTGCTTATTTCAAGTGTGAGGTTTCTTTTTTTTTCCCTCTCTCTTCTCCCTGTCCCTCCATCAGTGATACTGGACAACTCTATAGAATACAAGGTAAACATCACCTCCTAGAATTGTATTGTATTTAATCATTTATGCTCACCCATCCCCATCTAGCTGTTTCAGGTTATCTCCTGCCAGCCCTCCAAGGTTCCAGTTTACTATTAGTCTTACAAAGGTAGCTTTTAATTACTTCCCTGGAAGAATATTGAGGATATGATCAAAATACTCATAATCAGGCCAAATCCTTGGTCTGACTGCCACTCAGAACTGTGTCCATTAAGCCCCAACTTCCAATAATGCTTTAGCCTTTCAGTAGCACGTCTTTTTTTTATTTTTTGCTATTTATAGCTTCACCGAGTGGGGTTCCTTGTGGCTTCACCTCAAGTGGGGAATATTTAGTCCCCTATACCATACAAGAGCTAAATTCCACTGCCTAACTTAGGACTTTCGGTCCAACAAGCCTGCATAATCAATCTTGACACATGCCTTTGAGTTTCTATTCCATTTCTAGTTCATTAAAAATAATATTCTTCTTCTGGGACCATGTTTTTTGCTTTACTTTCTCTTTTTCTATTTTATTCTTAACTGCTGTGTCTGAAATGAAGAGTGTTTGAAAATCATAAATTTGCTGTGCTTCATTTTTTATCCCCTTCCAATTTTTATTTATTGCACTACACTAAATGAAACATAATACCCCAAATTCCATTGTCGGTTTCGATTTTTCCAGATTTCCAGTTTTTGCCCATGTACATACAATTTTATAATTATTACAATTGCAAGATAGTTACTTTTTTTTTTACTGGATATTTCGAATATTCTACAAAGTTTTCAAAATTATCACTCCCTATGACTGATTCTTAAATGATAATATACCACATCAAACAACTGGATGGTTAAAATGTTTTGAAAGGGGAAAAAAAGTCTACTTTCAATCAAGATGAGAGTGAGGGAAAGCATTGTGGTTTACCACAATGCTAGATACACGGGCTCAAAGTCAGCAATAAATCACCCACAACATATATTTATAGCTTACCCTCAAGTATCTATTGCCTTGCTAAATATACCAAAGTCTTGCTTTAAAATTTTTTTTACCTTATTACTAAATCTTATACCAAGGACTATCTCATCAATTATCTTATAAAAATATCCTACAAATGTGTCACTGATATAAAGTAATCATCCCTTTTCATGTATTTGCTAAACTACTTACCATACACAATATATTTTGCAAACCTACTTCTGTTTCACTTAGGAAAATCATTAACACTCAGGAACAGTAACTTTCATCTTTACCATGAGATCATTCCTGAGTGTTTAAAGATTAAATGCAGTCTTGTATTTGAGAACGCTTTGGAAACACAGAGGCATTATTTTTATTACAATTACCTTTTCTATTTCTCTCTGTGTAGCTCCTTCCTTTTTCAAACGTTCCTGTTCTACACACTTGGCGTTGTAATTTTCCTTGGATTTCTGGAGGGCCTGAGTTATGCTCTGAATGGCTTGAACAGCTTCCAGAGTTCCTGCAACTTCTTCTTTAGTCTGTTAGGTATGAAACGATTCATCAAAATGACAGAACTACAAACTATTCAATATTTAACTAACCAATTCAATGATTAACAAAACTGATACCTTTTTATGCGATTTTACTTGTTCTTCTCCATACTTCTGAACCTCCTTTATTAATTCCTGTAATTTTCTAACAAGATCCAAATGACAATTTGCTAATTTCTCTGTAGATGTTTTGAATACATCCCATACTGGTGCAAATGTTCTAAAGTGAAGAAAACATGGGGATAATTTACTAAAAGGAAAAAAGTTTAAAGCTCCAAAACAGAACCACTGGAACTAACGGGCAGAAGATGAGATTAAATTAAATCACAGATGAAATGACTGAAAGCCTGATCTCGATTTTTTAGGCCTTGGTTAATTATTTAAAATATTTTTATACCTCAGATACACGAAATGACTTAATTCATATCACAGGTACGGCCATGACCCTCTCTTAATTATAACATGTCATTTTCTGAGTTGATCTGGTTATTTAGATTTTTATCAGAAGCCTTTCTAATCACTGTTTAAAACTAATTTATTATTAAATCTCAATTTTAGATCCTTTAGTGCTCCATTTAAAAAACTTCACTGAAAATAAAAGCTCCTGGAAATTCCCTGGCAATCCAGTGGTTAGGACTCCACACTTCCAATGCAGAGGGCACAGGTTGAACCCCTGGTCAAGGAACTAAGATCCCATAAGCCATGCAGTACGGCCAAATAAACAAATAAAATAAAAAAATAAAAATTCTTCTAAATTGAAATGTGCAAAAGTTAAATCTACACATGATTTTTTAAATGTCTTCATCATTAAAGTTTATTTAAGAATTACTTTAAAACTGTTCTCTGAAACTTTGTTTCAGATTTTACCCATGTACTTCAACAAACACTAGACAGTCCCCTTCTACTACACTTGATATAGGACATATGACATTTTTCTATCATTTTTTCTCAACATTGAGAATTTAATATTTTTAGCAGGTTCAAGTACTTCCAAGAATTACTACACTGTAATATCTTGGATAATACTTAGTATGCCAAAGGTCAGTTTAAACTAATTTGGTCAATAGAGAATGATAAAAGAATAATTTTATCCTATGCTTTCCTCAGGTACTTCATCGGATATTTTCAACAGCACTTGCCTTGCTCTATGATAAAACAAAAACAAAGAGTAGCAATGAATCACTAAGGCAAGAAGCTAGAGAAAGAAATTACTCATCCTAATATGTACTCTTTACCAGCTGCCGCGTTTCTTAGCCAGCAAGAAAGCTAACTAACACAATCATTTTAAGCAGTAACAATAATGGTCAAGGAGGATAAATACTTAAATAGGACTGTTCTGATTAGATCTTACCTCCCACTTTAGAATCTAATCAGCACTAAAACTGGCAAGTAATTAGATGGAAAATTTCAAGAGGAAAAAGGACACCTGAAAAGTATCCACTCACAAGAGCACCAAAACACATGTATATCACTTCAAGTAAACCTGATACCTGATGGTCTAGATTTCACAGAACAGATGAGAGCGTCCCTTTACTTTAACCGAGGATTATTTACACTGAAAAGAGGTTCAGCATAAGATTTCTTTAAGGAATTACAACTGTTCCATTTCATAAAGGTTGATACACACAACTTTTTCCTGCCAGGTAATACACAATAATATACAATAAGCACTAAGAAATGAAACTAATGAATTCAAAATATGTTTAAATGCAATTAAATTCAGAAAGATAAAATTCAATTTCAGTAATATTTAAAATCTTTATAATCTTAAGTAACAACACTAACAGAAAAAATGAAATATCATCTATTATTCATGAAAGGCATACATTTCAAAGACAGAAATGCTGTCAATAACTTTATTAGGAAACACATGTTTTTTCCTACCTCCCACCTGGTAACTAAAAATAAGGTAGAATTTCCTAAATTAAAACTATGGCCTCATGCGAAGTGAACCAAGACAAATATCATACAATATTACTCATATGTGGAATATAAAAAAAAAGGATGGCACAAATGAACTTATTTCAAAACAGAAGTAGAGTCGCAGATGTGGAAAACAAACTCATGGCGACCAGGAAAAGGGGGAGGAGGGATAAACCGCGAGGTAGGGACTGACATATACACACCACTATATATAAAATATAACAATAACCTGCTGTGTATCACAGGGAACTCTACTCAACACTCTGTTAATGGCCTACATGGGAAAAGAATCTTAAAAAACAAACAAGAAACACGAGCAGAGTCACAGATGTAGAAAACAAACAAACGTGCGGCTCCCCAGGGGCAGGGGCGGGTGGACTGGGCGGCTGGGATGCACACACACGCTCTATGTAAAACGGGTGACTGGTAAGCACCTGCGCTCCACGCACGGCACAGGAGCGCTACTCAACACTGCAACGGCCTACCTGGGGAAAGAAATTTTAAAAAGACTGAGTGTGTGTGTGTATATATATGGATGACTCATTCACTCTGCTGTACAACTGAAACTAACACAACACTGTAAATCAACTATACTCCAACAAAAATTGTTTTAAAATATTATTTCTAAAATAACAATCATTCAGGAAACCTAAAAGAGTGAGTGTATGAAAGAAAACAATTTGTTATATATATGTTAAGAAAAAAGGCCAATTGGTTACAGCTAGTTTCTATTATTCCAGTTATTTTCTGGCCCCTCTACTCTGGTCAATAAAGAAGAAATTATCTTTAGAGTACTTAAAAAGAGGAGGCTGCGAAAAAACTGAGGAGAGAGATGGAAAAAGAAGGAAGAATGAAGTGGCATGGGAAGAACCAATAATTGCAGGACAACTGGGAGAAAAAAACAAACATAGCCATCAACCACCAGTCTCCACTCTCCTCCAGGTGAAAACAAAACTGCAGAAGATCCTCTTGGCTGTGGCTGTTAACACTTACATAATTGACAGGGTCACCACCCTGAGGATGAACTAAGAGCCCTACTCCCCTTTATGTGGGCTACAAACTAGGAAGACTTCTGTTTAAACTCATTCAACTACACTAGAGAATACTTTCATTGAACAGTCATTCTTAACCAGCTTTTTAGATCATAAGAACCATATGTGAAACTGATAACTGGTATCAGTTCAGTTTAGCCGCTCATTTGTGTCTAACTCTTTGCAACTCCATGAACCACAGCACACCAGGCTTCCCTGTCCATCACCAACTCCTGGAGACCACCCAAACCCATGTCCATTGGGTCGGTGATGCCATCCAACCATCTCATCCTCTGTCATCCCCTTCTCCTTCCACCTTCAATCTTTCCCAGCATCAGGGTCTTTTCAAATGAATCAGCTCTTCACATCAGGTGGCCAAAGTACTGGAGTTTCAGCTTCAACATCAGTCCTTCTGATGAACACCCAGGACTGATTTCCTTTAGGATGGACTAGTTGGATCTCCTTGCAGTCCAAGGGACTCTCCAGAGTCTTCTCCAACACCACAGGTCAAAGGCATCAATTCTTCAGCACTCAGCTTTCTTTATAGTCCAACTCTCACATCCCTACAGGACCAAGGAAAAACCATAGCCTTGTTTCAGACCTTTGCTGCCAAAGCAATGTCATTGCTTCTTAATATGCTGTCTAGGTTGGTCATAACTTTCCTTCCAAGGAGTGTCTTTTAATTTCATGGCTGCAATCACCATCTGCAGTGATTCTGGAGCCCAAAAAATAGAGTCAGCCACTGTTTCCCTATCTATTTGCCATGAAGTGATGGGACCAGATGCCACAATCTTAGTTTTCTGAATGTTGAGTTTTAAGCCAACTTTTTCACTTTCCTCTTTCATTTTCATCAAGAGGTTCTTTAGTTCTTCTTCACTTTCTGTCATAAGGGTGGTGTCATCTGCATATCTGAGGTTATTGATATTTCTCCCAGCAATCTTGATTCCAGCTTGTGCTTCATCCAGCCCAGCACGTCTCATGATGTACTCTGCATACAAGTTAAATGAGCAGGGTGACAACATACAGCCTTGACGTACTCCTTTTCCTACCAGTCTGTTGTCCCATGTCCAATTCTAACTGTTGCTTCCTGACCTGCACACAGGTTTCTCAAGAGGCAGGTCAGGTGGTCTGGTATTCCCATCTCTTTCAGAATTTTCCAGCTTATTGTGACCCACACAGTCAAAGGCTTTGGCATAGTCAATAAAGCAGAAATAGATGTTTTTCTGGAATTCTCTTGTTTTTTCTATGATCCAGCAGATGTTGGCAATTTGATCTCTGGTTCCTCTGCCTTTCTTAAAACCCGTTTGAACATCTGGAAGTTCACAGTTCAGTGATAACTGGTATACAACCCTTCATCAGAAATATGGATTAACACCTACACAAAATCTTATATAAAATTTCAGGGGAATCATAGATTCATCAGAATCCCAGATGAACAGGAATCTTTTACTGAGGTTCACTGTAAAAATCTTTATACTAAGTAAATATAAGACTATCTTAACATCTTAGTTAAAATATAGTATCTCCCCAAATTTTAGATAAGTAAACCAGATTCCTTCAGCCCAGCGTTTCTCATGATTCCTCATGATTTCTCAGTATTCCTTCCAGACTTGTTATTATTCAAATTACACAATTACTCTTTCCAGAGTTGTTATGGCTATAAGTATACCTCATTTAAAATATATTCTTATTAATAATATTCATTTTTCAAAGAAAACATTTCCTGAGCACATATTTTTAAAAGGAAAATTTAAAGGTAGTCTATAAAATCCTAACTGACATTTCTAATGCATTTAATCATTTCAATAAAATTTATATTAAGAGAGTTTTTAAAGCCCACTGTTAACAGAATGTAAATGAACTTACAGAAAACCAGAATAATGTGCATAACACATAACATTTATAATCCCAAAAGTATACTACTGATAATAAAGTGGAAAAAGTAAATTTCATTTACTTTGCATTAACTGATTCAGCAAATTCAGCTGTATTTTCTATTAAGTCAAGAATATATTCATATAGGCATATTTTAAACAAATAATTATATATTTTATATTTATGAACTATTACATCTTTAATAGAAACCTATTATTCTCAAAAACTTTGGCTAAATCAACACTGAAAGAGCAGTTCAAAGAAGTTAACTCACCCAAGTTGTGAATAATTGCTTGCAGATTTTGCTAGCTTTGTCATTGACCTGGAGTACGCCTCTTCTATTGTAGCTCTGTTAAATCAAACATCCATATTTTAAGAGCTCTTGCTTAATGACCAAACACAGAAAATACAAAATAATTACAACTGCAGAAATAAACAGATAATACGAAGTATATGTTAAAAATAAGTAGGTATGTGGTCATGAATTTCTGATCTTTCTTTAAATGCCCTTTGTGCACATCTATCTAAAGAACTTGTCTGGTATAAAATAATGTATGTCACCAAGAAACTTCAGCATAAAGTCACTCTTTTTTATTAGTACCAATGGTTATGTGAACAGGAAGTACAAAAGTACTGCTTCGTATATTCGCTCTATACATACAAACTGATTCAGTATGAAAATCTTTTGTGTTTATTATTCACACTGTGATTTCATGATTACACACACCAAGAAACTTCAGTATAGTCACTCTTTTTTATTAGTACCAATGGTTTTGTGAACAGGAAGTACAAAAGTACTGCTGCCTATATTCTCTCTATACATACAAACTGATTCAGTATGAAAATCTTTTGTGTTTATTATTAACACTGTGATTTCATGATTACACACATTTAGAATATGAGATTGATGACAGTCATCTGCACAAGACTATTAGCAAGTCTGAGATCCTGAACTTCAAGTTCTTAATCTAGTCTGTGATTAGAGCTAAAACACTAACAAATAAATATTTCACCTTATACTGTTGTGTTTTACATACTATTATTCAGCGTACAGAATTTTATGATAAAAAAAATCAGAGCCAAAGCCATTAAATATGGAATAGAAAAAAATGTTCCCACAGGCACACAACTTACAAATGAAAAATGTGATGCTGTCTTGGCCTTTCCAACTCTACAAAAGTTAAGTTCTATCTTACCCCTCCCGTAATTACCCTATCCTTTCTCAATCTGTGCCACCCTTAACAGAGCAAGTCTACAACCACCACTGCCTTCCATTTATTTACTTTGATAGGTTCAACTAATATTGTTTTTAATGCACAAATTCAGATCGACACCCTGCTCTTGAATCAAATCATCTGTTTAGTATCTAAATGCCTCAAGCATAACTCTACCTAGAATTTTAGTCACCTCAAACTCAGAATATCCAAAATAAGGTTAACTCCAAACTCTTCCCCAAACCCAACCCCACAAAAACTTTTTTAAAAAAGGAACTATTAACAGTAACTGCCTCTCATTGACAGCACTGTGATTTTTTTCTACTCCTTTAAACTTCTATGTGTCTTTTTAATATACTGTATTACAAGAGTAGTACTTTGATAATTTTTTAAAAGTTAATACAGAAATAATACATCAGTGAATAAGTTAAACAGGAAGGAAAAACAGTTCAATTTCCAGTAACAGCAAATTGATCTAAAAACCTTCCAATGAGAAAGGAGAAAAGTAGAAGTGGGAGGTATGCCTAAAAGGCATCAAAGAACTAAAGACCAGTTAAGAATCAGTAAGCCAAGATCCAAGAGGATACCCAGAGAGAGACAGATATGTAGGGCAGCTTTTCCCTGGGGGCAGCTAAGACTGAGAAATGGAGCAAAGCCTCACAAGGTAAGGGATATAAAACTAGCTTCAGACTTGCCCCAGGTGGGAAGCATGAGAAAATCCATATCCTTTAAATTGAGACCCAAAGAGTAAGCATAAGGAGTTAAGGATGAACCTAAGTAGGCAAGATCTCAAAGTGACTACACACTCTTTATCTTTTCAAACTCTTGATACTGGACCCTGCATGGTTGTCTTAAACACTTTCAAACCACCACCAGGCACATAAAGAAACAAGATAAGATGAACAATCAGCAGAAACAAATTTAACAATCTTCCAAATGTTAATATTATAAAGCTCAGACTTTATTAGTTTATGTATCATAAAAATATAAATTCTGAAAAAAATATATGTATATAAATTCTGTATCTGAAAAATACAATAACCAAAATTAATATCTCAACGGATGCAGTTAAACTGTAGATTTAATACACTGTAGTGTGTGTTAGTCACTCAAGTTGTGTCTGACTCTTTGTGACCCCATGGACTAAAGTCCACCAGGCTCCTCTGTCCATGGGATTCTCCAGGCAAGAATACTGGAGTGGGTTGCCAACTCCAACCTCCAATACACTGTAATGAGAACTGGTAAACTAGAGAGAGGTGAGAGGATCTATTCTGGCTTAAATCTCAGTGAAACATAAATTAATACAATATTGTAAATCAACTACAATCCAACAAAAATTAATTTTAAAATAAGAAAAGCTCAATGAAACAAAAGACTGGGAAACAGAAAAGAAAAATTTAAAAAAGGACAATGCAAAAATATCTGACATGCAGAGAAAGTAAGAATGGGTCAGAAGAACTATCTACAAGAGATAATGTTGACAAATTTTCCAAAACTGATAAAAGCTATCAAACCACGGGTTCGAGTTAGCCCAACAAATCCTAAGAGGACAAATAAAAAGATATGTACACATAAATAAAAATAAAAAGATAAGTCACATCACAGTAAAACTGGGGAAGGTCAAAGACAGAAAATCTAAAAGCAGCTAAACCCTTCCCACCATCAAATGTTACCTTCAAAGGAACAATAATTAGACTGACAGCTAACATCTGAACAGTAAACAATGCAATAATCTTTGAAGACTTTTTTTTAATTAGTAAAATGAAAAAACCATAAAACTCCTGGAAAACAACATAGGAGAAAACTTAGATGACCTTGGCTATGATGATGTCTTTTTAGATAAATCACTAAAGACACAATTTATGCAAGAATTCATTGATAAGTTGGACTTCATTAAAATAAAAACCAGCTCTGTGAAAGATGATGTCAAGAAAATAAGAAGACAAGCCACAGACTGGGATAAATTATTTGCAAAAGAATGAGAAAAAAAATAAAAATGTTATCCCAAATATATTATTGACTCTTAAAGCTCAACAGAAAGAAAACAACCTGATTTAAAAATGTACCAAAAACTTTAAGAGACACCTCACCAAAGATAATATACAGATGACAGATAAGCATATGAAAAGATGCTCTACATCATATGTCATCAGGGAAACGTAAATTAAAACAAGATACCACTATGTATCTATTAGAATGGCCACAGTCTAGAACACTGACAACAGCAAGGATGTGGAGCAACAGAAATTCTCTTTCATTGCTGGTGAGAATGCAAAATAATATAGCCACTTCACAAGCCTCTCACCTCACAATCTAGCAATTGTGTTCTCTGCTATATACTCAGAGGAGTTGAAAACTTATGTTCATGCACAAGAATGGTTACAGTAAGTTTATTCATAACTGAAAAGCAACCAAGATGTCAAAACTGAAAAGCAACCAAGATGTCTATCCTTCAGTAGAACAGATAGAAAGGATAAATGAATAAATAATTCACATCCAGACAGTGGAATATTATTCAGCATATTACTAAGTGAAAAAAGCCAACCTAAAAATACTATTATTACATACTGTATGATTCCAACTACAGTTGACCTTTGAGCACCACAGGTGTGAATTGTGTGGGACCACTTATACACAGATTACTAAATGATCCACAACTGTTTGAATCCATGGATACAAAATTGCAGATATCAAGTGTCCACTGTAAAAAGATACATGATATTCAACTACACAGAGGGTTGGCACCCCTAATCCCTGTGCTATTTAACAGTCAACTACAATATGACATTCTCAAAAAGGCAAAACTATGGAAACATTAAAACAGAACACAAAGGGTTCTAGAGAAGTGAAAATACTCCACAGAATATTATAATGAAGGGTATATGTCATCATACATTGACCAACCCATAGAATGTATAACACCAAAGACTGAACCCCAAGGTCAACTGTGGATTTTGGATGATTGTGATGTTATCAATGTAGATTCATTCTTGGTTTAAAAAAAAAGTATCCTTCTGATGAGTAATGCTGATAACGGGAAGGCTATGTGTCTGGGGACCAGGACACACACGAAACCTTTCAATTTCAGCTTCCCTGGCGGCTCAGTCAGTAAAGAATCTGCCTGCAATGCAGGAGACCCAGGTTCAATTCCTGGATAAGGAAGATCCCCTGGAGAAGGAAATGGAAACGCACTCCAGTATTCTTCCCTGGAGAATTCCATGGACAGAGGAGCCTGGCTATCAATTTTGTTTTAAATCTAAAACTGCTCCTAAAAAATAACAACAACAACAAAAATCTTCCAACTAGAATACTACACCCAGCAAAAATACAAATGAAAGTAAACCCTTAATAAAATAATGGATCTAGGTGATGAGCATCAATGGCTACTAACATCGCAAAAGAGATAAAACCAAAATATTATATGTCTTTGATGGAAGTATACATATTGCTGATGAAGTCTTCTCATCAAAATACTGAACTCAATTTGATCTAGTTGCTACATTTTATTCTATTATATGTTTTTCTTCTCTCACCTTAGAAGTAATAGCCTTGTTTTTTAGTGGTTATCCTAGAGATTGTAACATACTTCCTTGATGTATTAATTTCTAGTAATAATTGGTACTTATATCATCTTCCTGAAAACGCAGGAACCTGAGAACACTACCATTTCCTGACTTATATGCTTTATATTCCATTAGTGAGTATGTGTGCTTAATTTTTTACTCTGGAAATTAAAAGATTTCTATTTTTAAAACACTTTTTATTGTGGAAACGTACACTTACATGCTATTTTTGTGTGTGTTTCTTTAGATTTTTATTATAAACCACTAAGTAATGAACTGGAATATAGTTTCAACAGTTTTTAGTATTTTCACAGTTTTGTTTAAAACAGTTCTCTGACATCAAATTACTACCTGTCCATAGACACTTATGTGTAAGTGTCCACAGACACTTATGTATGTATCTCTTAACAGCTAATGATTTAGAGGACAATAATATTACCCAGCTAACAAAATTAATAATAATTAAATATTTTTAATGTCTAGTTTATTTGTTCAAGCCAGGTGGTTATGTTTTTCACATGTTTTGTATAATCATTTTTCTGGGCTCAAAGATCACTGCAGATGGTGACTGC